CGAGCGGCCTTTCCCGCGGGCCGCGCCGGATGGAAGGCTCCTTTCCCGAAGGGCGGTGGGATGAGCATAGGGTTCCGAGCCCCTGGAGCCTTCTGTGCTCAGAGTCTTCCCACGTGGTCCCGACTCCTCATAAGGTTTACATTTAAAAGCATAATTAAGTGACTTAGGGAGGGGCGAAGTCGCAAGAACTGCACAAATGATTGCTTTTCTCAGAATTGGATTTAAAATGAAGTGCTTTTCCAATATATTTTGGTCTTCATGGGAAAGATTTGAATTGATTTGTCACATTAAATGTCTTTTTTTGAAAACCACTGAATACAGCTCTGAATAGTTCTTAGTTGACACTGCCATTTCGAAAACCAATCCTTGCTTTTGTGAGGTGCCAGGAAATAGTATTTTCTTTATAAGTTAATCTTTAAAATAATGTAGGTAACAATGACATATTTACAGTTAATTGCAAAATGAATTTTCTTGATTATCCTCTATCCTTGTTTGTTGTGGATGTTTAATTCTAGGCTTTTTTCAATGCCAGATTGTCATAGAATCCCTATCCCCGTTCCATCCTGGGGTTGTTGCCTTTGAAACACAACTTGATCTTTAGAAGAATCAGCTGCACTTCAGAAGCAAAGATACTGCTTATAGTGTGTAGACATTAGAGTAGCTAGAATTGTAGCTAGTACTGGTTGGTTGGATGAATAAATGGCATACAAAATATACAGTGAAAAGGTAAAATAAAATTTTTAAAAATGCATCTGTGGATTATAAAACTCTTTTTTCGTTTTAGGAAAGACGACCAAGAGGTCGGAGAAGAGGTAGAAAATGTGGCCGAGGCCATAAAGGAGAACGGCAGAGGGGAACCCGGCCCCGACTGGGCTTCGAGGGAGGCCAGACCCCGTTTTACATCCGAATCCCCAAATATGGGTTTAATGAAGGACATAGGTAAGGTTCCTTTTGCTTTGTAAAATAAAAATCGCTAATTTTCACTGAGAATCACCTAAAAAAAAAATAGCTTGGTAGAAATGTAAATTCACTTTGAAACAAACTTTTGCTACTGTTTCTCTGAACCATTTTTGGTAATGAAATTTAGCCGGATTAGTAGGAAAAAAAAACCCAGACGTTGCACTCAGACCTGCAAAATGGAGATGAAAATGCCTGCTTTTGTGGCTGTTCAGAGGCTTAGCAAAATATATATAAAAATGTGGCCCATAGTAGTCATCCAATAATTAATGCATAATTCAGATAATGGGTTACATTTTCCACAGTTATTTATTTGTGTAAATGAGTGAAATAAATGTTTAGAGAGGTAAATTATTTTTAGTGAAACAAAGAAAGTACTGGTTTTGTTTCATTACCAAAAATCAAGCAATATTACATAATTTTGTTGTATTCAGGAGGGATTTATTTTGTTAAACCATCTGAATTGATGGAGGAAAACACAGGAGCTTTGAGTTGATATGGTGAACTTACAAAAGATAAGTTTGACTGAGTTTTTCAACCTTTACTTTCTTGTTTTGTAGCTTCAGACGTCAATATCAGCCTTTGAGCCTCAACAGACTGCAGTATCTTATTGATCTGGGTCGAGTTGATCCTACTCAGCCTATTGACTTAACCCAGCTTGTCAATGGAAGAGGTGTGACCATTCAACCATTTAAAAGGGATTATGGTGTCCAGCTGGTAGAGGAGGTAAATCTAGATTCGATTTATTTTGGAGTTACATAGAAGACTATTTCTGATTTCCATTTAATCAACACTTTGCCTTCTTTTATTTTTATCTTTTTCAGTTGTCATAACCAGTATGTAGTAGTGATTGTGTTTTAGAAAGCCAGCATTTTTTATTGAGGGACCCCTGTTCTTGGGATGTTCTTCTCCTGTGTATCCATCCATTCAGCTTGCTCTGTCCCTTCTTCTTCTCTGTTCAGATGTCATCATACCAGGATGATTTTTCTTTCAAGAGGGAGCACTCACACATCCCACCTCACCCCCTTGTACATTATTAATCAACTACTCCTGTTTCTTATATATATGTCAGTAACATAGCTGTGTCCACTAGAGGGAAGCATATGTTTATGGAAAAACCTTTTAAGATTCCTTTGAAAAGTAAACCTTATGGATAAAAGTATCCTATATAATAAAAGGCTAATATGCAAATCGACCAAATGGCAGAATGACCGGTCACTGTGATGTGCACTGACCACCAGGGGCAGACACTTAACACAGGAGCTGTCCCCTGGTGGTCAGTGCGCTCCCACAGGAGGAGCACTGCTCAGCCAGAAGCTGGGCTCA